ATTTCTGAAACAATTATTTCCTAGTTTTTCTATGAATATTCCACAATCTGAAAAAAATTCAAATTGTCATGAAGAATTTTATATTTCACAAATAGATCCATGGAGAAGTTCTGATTTCCTCCACAAGAATTGATTTCTGTTCAAAATTCTTCTGTCCTCAAAACTGGAAAATAATATCATTACAGATTTCGTTCAAAACAAAATAGATACTGAGTACACTCAGTATCTATTCTCAAATTTCTGAAACAATTATTTCCTAGTTTTTCTATGAATATTCCACAATCTGAAAAAAATTCAAATTGTCATGAACAATTTTATATTTTACAAATAGATCCATGGAAAAGTTCTGATTTCCTCCACAAGAAATGATTTCTGTTCAAAATTCTTCTGTCTTCAAAACTGGAAAATAATATCATTACAGATTTCGTTCAAAACCAACTAAAATTTCTCTCGTTCGCTTTACAGTAAGTTTCATTAAAGTCTACTATCCCATATGGAAGTTCATCATAGATGGACTAACTTAATGTCATTGTCTTTCCTTACTTTACGTTAGTTTATTCAGTAAACAATTTTCAGAAAACACATTATGCAAATTTTCTATTTCAAAACGTTAATTGAATATTCAAATATTGGTTATAGTAAATATAAGTTTCTTGAAGTATGAATTTCACCTCAAATGAAACTTTTTTATCAAAATATATGTTTGAAATATGTTTTTTCGTTAACCAGCTAACCCCTACGAACGACAACCCTCAGAAGACGAAACTTGTGCGAGCTGAGGACTAACGAGGTCTAACCTTTCAACGTGTGATTCCTAACACGGGATCCTTAGCAAGTGAAAATTGAGCGTTCAGGATGCGACTTGAACCATCGAAATATCAATTAAAAAATTTAAATAATATGGCATTATAGGAAAAGTAATTGATTGGATCAGTGATTACCTCAGAGGAAGGAAGCAGGTAACCAAAATCAATGAATTTGTATCAACAGCATTAAGCATAGACCACGGGGTTCCGCAGGGAAGTATTTTGGGGCCATTACTATTCTAAATTTACATTAATGATATCATCAAATGTAATGAATGTTCATATGAACAGTATTTCGCTGATGATGCCCTAGTATCGGTTAGTGATAAAGATATAGATAAAGCTATTGAAAAAATGAATGAAGCATTGCATAATATTGCTATACATATATTTAAAAACTAATAAATTGAAGCTGAATGTAAACAAAACAAAGGCTATGATACTTATTACACCTTTTAATACAGAGAATTAGATTTAAATCAAATTGAAATAAAAATAAAAAATTATTAAATTGAGCTCATTACTGAATTCAGATATCTAGGATTTATGTTAGACAATCTATCAATGAATAACCATTTCACCTACATACAGAAAAAATATTTGAAGAAATTATATTTTTTCACAAGAGTATCCCAACACTTGATTATGCAATCACGGATAACTGTATATAAGACAATTATACAACCACATTTTCAATATTGTCCCACTCTTCTATACACAAGTGATTTGAATAAAATGAGAACACTACAAAAACTACGGAATCGCGCAATGAGGATAATTTTTAGATGTGACAGGAGTACCCATATATCTTCAATGTTAAATACTCAGAATGGTTATCTATAAAAAGTAGGCTTACATATTTAACGATGATTTATATTTACAAAATGTTACATAACCTTCTACCCTCATATTTTGACAAATTTGTAATTTTCAATAAACAAATCCACCAGTATAATACTAGAATAAAAAATAATTTTTTAGTAAATAATCAAACAAAAACATTCAACACTAAAACATTAATGTTCAAAGGATTTATCAAGTATAACAGTCTACCTGAAAATGTAAAGTCTTCTAACAGTCTTATTCTGTTCAAAAGAAATGTATTAGACCATTTAAGAGACCATCAAGGTATTATGTGATATTTTATATTTTTCATTTTTTTTTGTATTTTCAATTATCGTAGCTGAGACTACTTATTAACAAATATAAGTAGATCTTTTTTGTATTATTGTATTTATATGTATATTAATGTTAACATCACTATCATTGTTGTATATATTAGGATCCTATTTGAATAAAGCATTTCAATCTCAATTGCAAACACATAGTCCGATTGACTGAGTCAACAAAGCACCCACGTCGAACCGTCCGACTACCGACCGACCGTATTGTGAAGAACAAACTTCATTCTAACAGTCATAACTTTTTGTAGATCATTAATTTCCCTAAAAGCAATACAATTGAAGGATATGCAACCAATCCAGAGTTTAACAGCGATCAAACGTTCTTCTGAACAACGATAAAATTGACAACGATAGTACTAACAGACATAAAACTAACATCTTTGTCTCATTAATAAAATGGATTTGCTTTCAGCTGAGATTATTCCAGAAAATTATATTTACAAATACCATTCGACCTAAATGTTTTCTCTTGTGAATGTCCATTTTTTTAAACTCAAAATTTGTTATTTTTGAGTTATAACAATCGAGCAACCAGCGATAGGTGAAACCAACTGAACTGTGGACTCGTGATTTCATCATGCTATTTACTCTTATAATATTGCTAAATAACACAGTTTACGTTAAAAATGGAAATTTATCGATAATATTTTGAGAACTTATGGTATAACTGGTACTTTAAATAAAAACGTAAATTTCCCCATAACTAACAATCCACAAAAGACACAGTAACCCGATATAACCTAAGCGATGTGCTACTATTGAATAAATATAAATAGAAAAACAATCAATAAATAATGTTACGTTTTCCCCGCCGGTTTGACAATAATTGACTACACTGCACATCTGAACTCAACTTTATTTAATTGCTACACTGACAATCCAACACAAACATATTAACTGAAACTTCAGACTCATATTCAAATGCCTATCGCTGGTTAACGGAAAAACATATTTCAAGCAGATTTTATTAGATCACTTCGTACCGCACTTTCAATTAGACTTAACCGATCTGCCTGTTGGTAATATTTGTATGTCGTAATGGAAGTCTCTGAAAGCCGATAGGAAGTCTCTGGAAGCGACGCGACTCCTAGAACGATCAAGAAACGCGAGTCGCGTCGAGCGCGACCTTGGCCAAGTCACAATCGATTGACGTGGACCAGCGGCGGACGGCGTTATTGTTTCAGGGGATAATTTACTACAATAATAACAAGGAAACAATGTGAAATTCAATATTAAAATTCGAAATTTTATGTGTGACATGTGACTAATTGGAAAAAATAAATTGTTTGAGTTCACCAGTTTTTAGTGGTCAAAACTGCGCAACCACTGAGTGTGTTACACGGTTAGGTAATTCTTGAATCCAGCCTCTGGATATAATTAAAATGATTCAAAAAGCGCTTCGATGCTGCATTCGGTGCAAGACTTTTTGCATTTTTGTCTTAGACAAAACCAATATCGCAGAATTCGATTCTTGCAACATCTTGGATCATGCGTACAAAGTTGGAATACTCTCTTCAATGACGTCGAAAACTTTGACCAAAACAAAATTACCGGAATTTTCATGCATCTTAACCAAATCAATGGTGGCACCTAACAGGTATACAAAATCAAAGTATACCAAAACTAAGCAACAGAATCATTGCCATACAAACTCTATAAAAATCACTATTTCAGAATAAGTGATTATGTCAAACAATTTTCTTCAATAGTGTTTTGAATTTCAAAATTCATAATTTTCAACTTTTCAGACATCATATATACAATTTTTAAGCAAGCATGAGTTTATATGAAAGATGAAATTTTTTATTTGTTTCGCTTCGTGTTCACCATATCACCATACTGTATAAAGGTAACGTTATCAGCAATCCATCAATGAACAGAAGTTCAATCCAGGTTATCTATGTCTAGCACCTACATATGAGCAATAATATTTACATATAACCTGGTGCACGACCCCTTCAAAGGCATAATAGTTCGCACCCGTGAGTAGATTACAACTTACAACTAAGTGTTTTTTTCTGTTCTGTTAATGGAAAATCAATATTTACAAACTTGATAGTCATACCCCACTGACTTAATGTGAAATACCATTAGAAATGAATCACTCAACAAAATACATAGAAGTTACAAAAAGGATTTGAGGCTTTATAATTCCTATTTATTATATGCGAGCGCTTGTGACAGCCGGTCGTGCTATCATCATCATGGTTCTACTTGATAGGAATTTCGGTCAAATCTTATGTTGTTTGTAATAGTTTGTTTACCTCGAAACCACACTTGAGATGGAGATTGTTATATAAGTTGAAACGTACTCTCTGTGGTATATCTTTTTCGCATTGTTCACCATCGCTATTGGAATCACTACACAGAAAAAAGTCTGCGTTGTTATCACACTCGTTATTATCATTAGTACTTGTCCAAGAACGCCACATTTTAAAGAGATAACAGAAATTTCAAGTAATTATAACGCCGATAGCTTTAACTATGCACTATACCGATTACTTCGACTATACATTATTCGAATGCGCAAAAAGTTTTATATACAAGAGGAATGATTGCTGTTAGGTATTTATATAGATATTGAAGGCTTATTTCTGATCATCTCATCAAATTCGTAATAACAATAACAGTTTATTATGATTATCATAAATGAAATTCTCTTCTAATACAAAATTCTGCTCAAGATCCCATAACCACAATGTTCTGGTGCATAAGAGCATAGCAAATAGTATTGATATAAAATCAAAGCAGATTTCATTCCAGATTGTATCAAACCGCACCTGCAATATTTATAAATTATGGGCAAAACTAATCGCAAACCGAGTTGCAAACATAAATACCATAAAATAATGAAATTTCTTATCTCTATTTGGATTATTCTCGAAAACAAATCAAATGTTTCAGTTATAATATCAACAATACACAAACCAGATTTGCCAACAAAGAAAACATTGCGAGAATGAAATTAAATAAAACAATGAGATGAACAAATGCCATCAGAAAAACTCACCTGTACTAATTATAATCCATCTAAACAATCGCGAAGATTAACAAATGTTCACACAAAAGTATAACAAGAATTTTCACTTTTATTAGAGAATTACAAAACAGTCCCGGGAAGAAGCCGCACGATTACCAATGCCAAAACGTCAAAAAGTTTTATCAATAGCGAATCCCCGGATTCACACCTGAAAGAGCACCACAATTGCCGCACAAAAAATAATCTGATACATTTAAAACAAAGTTAGCCGTGGAACGAACGCGGTCGCTGCTCGCCAGGTGAGTCGATTCGCGATTAATGATCGTGAAACTAGAAAAAGGCATTGCCATCAAAGTCGTCCTCTGGGCATGTGGATGTTTTCCCCTTCTTCGGTTCTCTATAGAATGTGCTGTCTCGAGTATCAACTCACTCTTTAATTTCTCAAGTTACCTGGTTGAATCTCTGTGCGTTCACCTGTTTCTTCAGATGCTAGAGAGGATTTCTTCTCGGTTTTTATTCCGCTTGTACCGACCGATAAATTGAAAGATTATTAAACAAAGGAATGCTGGTGCAAATTCTTGCTTTGGAGCGGTCTACTAGACTCAGAATCTGCTGACTGGTTTACTCTATCCATGGCACACTGTGATTCATTCACCGGTTTCGCAAGTCGCATATTATTGTTGGTTTTTGGTAAATTGTGTTTGTATTATGACATATTTCCTCGTAGAAGGGATAACTCACTGATAACATGACAATTTTGACAATTATACAGGGTGTTTCATAACTACGGTAAGAAACTTCAGAGGGGGATTCGTTAGGTCGTTTTAAGAAAAAAGTTTCTATGAACATATGTCCGGAATTGCTTCGTTTCTGAGTTACAGGGCGTTTAAGTTTAAAAAAACGGTATTTCTAAAATATCATAAATATCCTTATACCGATTTGGTTGAAATTCGCTACAGTTAGGTATTTGAAGTAATTAGGTGCTTATTCAGCCGGAAGTAGATTGAAATTAGGTCCAGAAGCGTCTCAGTGGGTACCACAGCCAACAACATTGAGAAAAAAAAGAACGCCACTGACTTTTTTTGTAGTTTTTTATTTTTTTAGATTATTCAACTAAAAATTCAACTTTTGTACTGTTTATGTTTTCTTCATATCAAGCTTCGTTTTCAAGAAAAAAAATCACTTCTCAAAACTATCCATGTACAACATAAAATAAAAACCGAAAGTCAATAATAAACAATTTCGACCTTGAAGTAAATGAGCGAAATATCTACTTTCTGATAAAATACACGATTGCAATCGATTTGCCATTGATTGACTAACACGTTCAAAAATACCTGGAGTAAGTCATGACATTGCAATTGTCAATTATTATATTTCTCGAGTCATTTACATCTAGTACAGCAATTTTATAAGGAAGTCCATATAGGAATGACCTGTGATCTAGATAGTAGAAAAAATGGACCAAACGTTCAACAAAAATTGTTGCTGAAAATGACTTTCTCTAAAGAATTTTTGTCGGCCCAAAAATTGTCATTGTGAAAGTTTATAATAGCATCTCTTGAAAAATTTGCTTCGTCCGTAAATAATTTATTTGATGAAAATTAATATTGTGTGTCATCGTATGAATCAACCACCTGCAAAACAATAATCTTGGGTGAAAATCTCGAAGCAGTAGTGCTTGGACTACATGAAAGTATGTGATATGGGTATAGGAGGTTTCTTTTTAGAACTAATCATATGGTTTTTGGGCTGATTTCCACCTGCAGTGCAAACTTGCTGGTACTATTTGAAGGATCTTCTTCTATCGCATCAAGTATAGCTTCTTCAAGTTCAAGCGTTGCTATAGTTTCTGGTCTTACACCACCTGAATTTCTAATAAAACTCTCAGGTAAACATAATGTCACATGTAGCATTCTAAATGTTTCATAGTATAACAATGTTCAATTGAAGGTAACTCATATACAAATTGAACTGAGAGCTAACGGTAGCAATGTTTAAAGTTACAACTAAATTCTTACCGGGGTCATTTTTATTGTCTATGCATCGCCATTGTAAATAATTGAAAAGTAAGATGATTCCATAAAACTTCCCCCCGTAACAAGATAGCTTCTGCATATCGATAGGATGTACGAGCGAATAGATGAACCAGTTCGTTAAATACTTTGAAACATCGGTTAACTGATCAACATTTCGCAGGTCTATTATATTTGCGTCCTTAAAATGCCATAACTAGTCATTCGGTTTCTTCATTATCAAGCGTCCTTATCTGCATAGGCGTAGTGTGTTCTATTTCTTGTGAAGGTGACTTTGTTTTATATTCATTAAATATATTTTATTATATTTATTGAATAGACTGTTATATTTATTAACTTTAAAATATAAGATAGAGTTGGCCGATACTTGTTTTTCAAAATACATCACCATAGATTTTCATCACATTCACACTTTATTATGCGATGATTAGTTGACCATTAAACTCAACTCAGGTATAACTGTCATTAATTAGTTCATAGAATATTATAAGTTTCTAGGTAGATAGTAATATTTCAAAAACTATATATAAATCACAATGTATGTAGAATACAGTTTGTTAGTGAACACGCTTGAAAAAGCTACTGTGCAGCGAAACACGTGTTGCTGATTTGTTAATCTGTTCTAGTGAAAATCTCACAATAAAGTGTTTTTCAAAATAAATCAACTTTAAAATAGCTTTTGAGGTAAGTAAACAACTGACAAATAGCTGAATATGTGATTGAATTTTATTATTTTTATAGTATTAAGTAATGTAAAAAGAAAGCGGAAGTTTATGTCGTTAGAAGAAAAACAGATTGTCTGTAGAGTATACGAAAATTTAAAAAATACATTCCGTAGAGTGGAAGCTGTAGCCCAGTGTTCATTTTAAATGGGAATGTCCGTGTCGACAATTGAACGCATTGTAATACGTGAAAATAAGGTGACTGGGATTGTGCAACCTCCAAAAGTGCATTGTCGTGGTAGAAAAAAAAATTGAATTAGATGAGTACCAGAAAAATTTTGTACGCTATACCACTCATTCTTTCTTTTTTTGAGAATAAAGCGCCAACCCTCGAATCCATTAGGACAAAGGTAATGGATAATGATCTCATTCCAAAGCAAAGAGAAGTTAAGGAAAATAAAAAGAGAGGATTTAAAATTTATATATGCCAAACTATCTCGTAAATCTGTCTTAATAGAAAGAGAAGATATAATCTCATGGCGACGGAGATATCTTCGCTCTATTGAAGAAATGCGTTCTACTCACAAAAAGATTTATTATCTGGACGAAACGTGGTGAATGCTGGTCACACAGTATCTAAGATCTGGCAAGATACTACTGTAACTATTTATCGTCAAGCATTTGTGGACGGTTTATCAACAGGGTTACGCAGTCCAACCGGTAAAGGGCAACGACTAAGTGTTGCCCATATAGGTAGTGATAGTGGCTTTTTAGACGATAGTGTACAAATTTTTTTTATCAAAAAAAACGGGGGATTATCACGAAGACATGGACGCCCAACGCTTTGAAGGATGGTTTGACTCCCTTCTTCTACGAGTTGAGCCAAATTCGGTATTAGTAATGTATAACGCTTCTTATCACAGCCGATTAGTAGAACATCTGCCAGCTATGACCACCAGAAAAGCAGACATGCAGAGTTAGTTAGGACAAAAAGGAATTCCATTTTCCGAGGACATGGTTAAGGCCGAACTTATGAGTGTCATTAAACAGCATCGTGACAGATATCGCCAGCATGTGGTGGATACAATAGCTCGTGCTGAAGGCATCACCATTTTGAGACTTCCTCCTTACCATTGCGAGTTTAACCCGATAGTTACGTAGCTCGTGAAAATGTGACATATGAAATTTCTGATGTCCAGGGTTAATTAGAACTCGCAATGGAACGGATACGGAAAGAAGATTGGGCTAATGTTGTAGCCCATGTGATCAAGGAAGAAGAGAAAATGTGGAGATTGGACGGGATGATAGACACTGTTTTCGACCAAATAATAATAGATTTAAGTGTGACTGGGGATTCCTCTTCGAACGAGTCAATGGATTCTGTAACTTCATAAGCATAACATGAATGAATGAATGAATGTTGTTTATTGATAGTAAGTGAACATACTAAAGTAATACACGATAAATACAATAAACATTACAATGAACCAACAGAAGTTGTTGAGAGCTTCAACAACTTGTACGTGGTAACACAAAACATAATTACATTTTTTTGATAAATTTAGTACACTAAACACAATATTCTATCACATAGGTTGTATATAAGTATATAAATACAATAATGAAAATTGATAGATTTATATAACAAACAAGAAGAATAAAAGTTAAAATTTGAATAGTAGAAACGAGACAGCATCATTCAATTATAGTTTACCAGTATTATCTTGACAATCCACTATGATTATTATCATTATCATTATTGTATCTCAATAAACTCACGAATCTCTCTCCTGGATCTACTTTTGATATGAGCAATGAAGCTCCTTTTGAATTTTCTTACATTATTTTCACTTCTGACATATTCCGGTAGGTTGTTATAAAATTTTACTCCCAGGTATGAATAACTCCTTTGTCCGATATTTCTTTTCATAGTAGGTGCAACACATCTATCCTTATTTCTTGTTTCATAAGTATGAATGACACGTTGCAATTTGAATCTGTTTGAGTATTGCCATATGTTGACCTGCATATAAAACAGCTGTCGAACGTCAAGAAGATTTGTTTCAGAAAATAGTAATTCTGTGGGGTACATTCGATGTTTGTTCAACAGGATTCTCAGAAATTTATTTTGGGACACTTGTAACGTATTACAATATGTTTTTGAAACACCGCCCCAACCTATAATCCCATATTTCAAATGTGATTCCACAAGACTCTGATACACTATGATTTTTTCTCTTGAATTCAAATATTCTACTATTTTCTAATATCTGTACAGTATGCATCTCAGTTTTTGTATTAGATATTCAATGTGGATATTCCATTTAAAACAACAATCCAACATAATTCCTAAATATTTTATTTTATTCGTGGGTCGTATAACGAATGAATTTTGTATGGTAATATTGTAGTTTGGGAGGGAAGTTTCAACATTGCTAAATGGTAGATAAAATGTTTTTTTTAATTGATTGATAGAAGCCTATTATCTAACCAAGATTTTATCTTTGTGAAATCATTTTCAATTTTCAATTTCAAATCATACCAGTTCGTGTCTTTATATATTACAACAGTATCATCGGCAAAACTGGTTATTTGGCCATCTTTTTCAAGTAGAAATAGATTATTTAAATAAATAGTGAATAGCAAAGGACCCAATACCGTTCCCTGAGGCACACCACATGTTATTTTTTGTGTTTTGCTCCATTTATTTTTAATTTTAACTTGCTGTTTTCGATTTTCTAGATAACTTTTGAATAAACAATGTGCTAATTCCCATATCTTCTAGTACTTCTAGAAGTATTGAATGTTCGACGGTGTCGAATGCCTTCGCCAAGTCTAGAAAAATACCTATTACTGGTTCTCCTTTATCTAGGCTATCGTAAATAGTATTTGTTAAGGAGTGTATCGCATCTTGAGTAGATTTATGTTCCCTAAATCCGA